GAACTATGCAAAGATTTGGTCATACGATGAGGATATAAGAAGATCAAACCCTGGATCTACTGTGAAAATAGATGGGAATAGTATGCTAGATGGAAAGAGATATTTTAGTAAGTTTTACGTATGTTTTGAGGGACTAAAGCAAGGTTGGTGAGACAGTTGTAGAAGAGTAATAAACCCGAACGACTGTTTCTTAAAAGGGTTATGTACCGGAGAGTTAATATTTGTAGTTGGAAGGGATGCTAATAATCATATTTTCCCAATATCATGGGCGGTTGTTTGTGTGGAAAACAAAGAGAACTAGAAATGGTTTTTGGAGAATTTAAAGGATGACTTAGAAATGGAAAATGGTTTTGGTTTTACTTTGATGTCAGATCAACATAAGGTATGTCACTTACTCTTTAATGTCATATTAACTACATGTAAGTTGTATTGATTTTAAAATTGACAATTATTGTGTAGGCGCTATTGGAAGCTGTGAAAGAGATATTGCTACTGCTAAACACAGACAGTGTGCAACACATATTCTTGCCTACTTCAGGAAAATATTCACTGAAGTACACTATGAGAAGTTGTTATGGAAGGCATGCAAGGCATCCACTAAGCCTTATTCAATTTAGCAATGAAGGAAATTCAAGTTCTTAATCCTACAACCTTTGATTATCTTATGGAGAAGAACCCACAATCATGGTGTAGAGATTTCTTTCAGGAGGGCAAGATGTGTGATGCAGTAGAAAACAGATTATCTGTGAGCTTTAACATTGTCATAAGAGATGCAAGGAAAAAACCAATCATCAAAATGCTAGAAGAAATTAAATTGTATGTTATGGAAATGCAATTTAACTTGAGCATGAAAGGTAGTTCATGGCCTGAATTTAAACCATGTCCAGCAATCACAATCTTACTCAATCAGTTGAAAAAACCCCAAAGGTAAATAATTTATCATTTTATTAAAAATGATCAAAACTATTAGCATAGACTAACTACTTTATTATGTCATTAGATATTGGTACATTTTACCAACTGGTTTAAACCAGTTTGAGACAAGGAACTTGGCAGAGTCCTTTGTGGTTGATTTAGACAATAAGACATGTTCTTGTGTAGTGTGGCAGTTAAATGTGTATGGGTGTGTGCATTCAGTTGCAACCATATCCTACCTGAATAAAGATGTTGGAAGTTATGTGGATCCCATGTACTATGGAGCATTTTATAGGAACACTTACAAATATCCAATTCATGGGATGAATGGTAGCAATATATGGCCTTCTACTGAATTCATCCCACCATTGCCACCTTTGAGGAGGAAAATTCCAGGAAGACCAAAAATTAATAGAAGAAAGGACCCAAGTGAAAAGACTACAAGACACACTATGTCAAAGGTTGGGAAGAAAATTCTATGTAGTGTGTGTAAGCAAGTTAGACATAACAAGGTTACATGTCCTCAAGTTGAGAAGCCTAAAAAGCTCTAGGTGAAGAAGAGAAAGAGATCAACTAGTAAAAATTTTAATTAAGGGGAAGGAATAAGTGGAGCAAGACCAAATGAAGATGCAAGACCTGAAGAGAAAGGAAAAGAGGGTACACAAAAAAAGAAGCTTTCGATAAGGATTATCAAGAAAAAAACTAAGTAAAAGGGTTGAAAGGAAAAATGGAGAAGGAAATACAGGTGATAAACCGTTGGTTATTGAATAGGGAAAAAGTTTCATTTTGTATTACTATGTCGTAATGGTTGAATGATGTTGGATTTAAGTTTGGGTGTTTTATGCATGTTATGTACTAGAGTTGGTTGTTACAATAATAAGTGTGTTGTTATTTGCATGTTTGAATCTATGACTATATGTAATGTAATGGACATGTTTGGTTTTATTTTGAAGCATGTTCCCATTAGTAGTGCAAATAAGTGCATGTTCTCTATTATTGTATGTCTTTGTGGGTCAAAAGAATGTACTTACTAAACATCAAAAGAATTAGCATTTTCATTAACGTGAAATACGATTACAGACACATAATTTACTTATTAAACATCACAAGAAAATACCAATACCAATCCCTTACAACTTGGAAACTTTTATCACAAAGAAAAATCCCAACTAAGAAGTAGCAAAACTTTAAGCTTCCTAACATCATAGTGAAACTTCTTATTTGACCTAACCAAACTTGCAATCAACTGTGCCTCACCATTTCTGTTTGTTGAGTCCACTTTGTCTGCCCAACATATAAACCCATCACGGGGACCTTGACAGAAAACATTTGCGAGTAAGATACGAAAAGGAAAATAACCATTTTCAAGTCTAGGGCTACAGTTGAAGTTGAAGGCGAATGCAATCGAATATTACCTTTTTGGGGCAAGCATAAAAGGGTCGTCCAGGATTGGACAGAGTAGTTGAGGTTCGTAATATGGCATCAAATCCACATGAACATTCGACCGATTTCATCGATCCCTTCATCTTCGTAATGTTACTTGCAAAGAAACAAGGACAACAGAGAGCAAAAGAGGATAAAAATGGCCAGATACTAGTCTCATCTGTATATATATTCGAGGCTAAAAGGTGAAAGGACAAAATTACCTCCAACAGTACTGAATGAGGGTTAGTGTCTTAAAAAACCTTATTTTAAATTTTATAATACTATTAATCTAAAACAAACACATTCCATAACATAACATAAAACATAACCTAACTTTAATCAGGTCTTCGTTTCCATTTTAGATGAGTAAGATTACATTTAGTTAGTTTATACAAAATTATATGTGCTTACACTGGTCTTCAACCTCCACCATCACAACATAAACAAGACACCACTAAACAACAACATAACACATTAACCCTAACCCTAACACAAACACATCACTACGTAAAGAACACAAACACAACCATACCTAATCAAAAGAAACACATCGACACTTAAAGATCACTTCTTCATTAGATAATGAACTTTGTCCACCATGAAACCAAACATAAACACCGCCATTCCCACCACCAACACAGTCAAAGATTGCACTTTTTTCTCTGTAAGCTCTAAACGAAGTTGCATAGCGAGTGAATCCACCCTCGTAATGACCATATCGCGACTCATTTCCTCCTTCATTCAATCGACTTCGATGTTCTGCTCAGCAATATGTGCCCTATAGTTGCAAAAAATAGTGTGTAGGTCGCCAAAGTTGAGCATATCACGAGAATTTATCGATATGGAATAAGGTGATTGTAGCGGTGGGGTAGCCATCTGGTGATTATCATGAAAACGAAAGTTGTCCGCTTGTCGGACTTGGTTTGGCCGAAAATGCGAATAAACAATTAGGGTTTGCTTGAAAATACCATTTCTTTTAAGAACATAGGGTCCACAGTAACCCTTATGGCCCAAGAAAAGAATCGGATCCAACTCAGTGACATGTACACCAAGTTTACTCAGAGTTGATTCGATAGCTTACGTGGATTGTTTTTGGTATTGGAAACCTTTTAAAACAGGTAAACGGACCCATTTAGCCGGTCAAATAACATTTTGTACCCCTTAAAAGCAAAATAAATAAATAAATAAATAAACAAAAAGGATCATTTAAACCAAAATGTGTAACATAATTGGGCTAAGTAACATATACCAAATTATATATATATATATATATATATATATATATATATATATATATATATATTGTGCTCTAAGTACCCATTTTAACCATATTTCCGCCCTAAAGTCAATCGCATCAACTTTTTGACATTTGATTTAACATCATTTTTTTTCTTTTTTGTCTTTTGTTGTTTTTTTTATTGTTTTTTTTCCTATTTTGTTTTTTTTGGAATTATTAATTCTTTTTTAATTTATATTATTATTATTATTGTTATTATTATATTATTATTATATTTTAATATTATTATTATTATTATTATTATTATTATTATTATAAATTTCGCACAAAATTTTAACATTCAGAAGACATTATAAATTCGAACGGATATATAAAATCGGTTTTTAAATATTTTTTATATTTTACTATTAATATTATTACTGTTATTTTTATTATAAATTTCGAACAACATTTTATAAATCGGACATTATAAATTCGAACGACTATATAAAATCGGAAACATTGTATAGTGTTCGAATAAATGTTTTCAATCCGCATAACGCACCACGCAATTGTAATACCGTACCAATTAATATCCGTAATTAATAGGGATAAATTTTGCTTTTGTTCCGATTTTATATAGTCGTTCAAATTTATAATGTCTGATTTATAAAATGTTGTTCGAAATTTATAATAATAATACGAATAATAATATCAATATTAAAATATAAAATTTTTTAAAAACCGATTTTATATATCCGTTCGAATTTATAATGTCGTACGAATATTAAAATTTTATGCGAAAATTATAACAATAATAATCATTATATTAAAACATAATAATAATAGTAATATTATTATTATTATTATTAAAATATAATAATAATAATAATAATAATAATAATAATATCAATTAAAAACAACAAAAAAAAATAGGAAAAAAAAAACAACAACAAAAGACAAAAAATCAAATCAGGTGATGGAATCGGAAAAGAATGAGGTACTTATAAAAACCCTATATATATTGTGTTAAGAAGAATGTTTGTATCATTGTCAATTCTAATCTAGATTAACCGGGTCAGATGCGTCATGAACAGGATTTGGGTTTAAAATTTAAATCTAATAAACGATCTTAATTTTTATAATTAAAGAATCTGGATATAAATTTAATCCACTTATTTGTCAAAGATAAAGATTATAAAACAAAGAAAAAGGAAAGACTTTGGTGAAGGGGAGAAACAGAAAAAGAAGAGAGTGAGCGTGCGGACACGACATTAGTGATTAGACAAAAAGGTTGCACGTTAGAACGACGGCCGATGGTCGGCTGGTCATTCTCCACTCTTTATTTATCCCTTCGAACCCAAGACACTCCCCCTTTACTAGTTCCCACTTCAATTCTCATTCTCTCATTCTCTCTCTCTCTCTCTCTCTCTCTCTCTCTCTCTCTCAACCTGATGATGAGGACCTTGTGCCCAAACGTAGACAACGAAGATGCTCTTGAAACAGTGCTCGAAGTTCCGATACCGGAGGAAACCTTCGATGATACCAAGATCAACCACAACACCAACTCTTGGAAAACCTTGAAATCGTGGATGAAACCTCATTCCACCGATCAAAGACGCCAATTTTCTGACTACGGTGGTCGGAACGCTGAAATTCAGCTCTTGCTCGGAGTCGTCGGAGCTCCCCTCGTCCCTCTTCCCATCTCTTCTGGCCACCCTAACATTATCAACCCAGATAACCCCATCGTAAGTCCAATTCCAAGATTTCTTGAATTGAATGAATATGTAATTTAGTTTTCTCTGTGCTGATTGGTGCTAATGAAGTATTGAATCTGACTTATGTAGGAGGCTTCAATGGCTAAATACATCGTGCAACAATATATAGCTGCGGCGGGAGGAGAAAGGGCGTTGAATTTAGTTCAAAACATGTACGCCGTAGGGACGGTGAAGATGGTGGCGTCAGAGTGCATCGCCGAAGACGGAGTAACTATGAACTGCGGTGGTGGTAAGGCGATGAAGGCCAAAAACATTAAAAACGGCGGTGGTGAGATGGGTGGGTTTGTGTTATGGCAAAAAAGACCGGACCTTTGGTCTCTAGAACTGGTTCTTTCCGGATACAAAATCAGCGCCGGCAGCGACGGGAAGGTGGCGTGGCGACAGACACCGTGGCACCATTCTCATGCATCTAGAGGCCCCCCCAGACCTCTTCGTCGTTCCTTACAGGTAATATTCAATTTTGAAACTTTCTCTTTAATTTAACTTTGACTTTTAGGAAAAGAAATTTACCAAAGTCTTTGCCACCCAAATTGATCACTCTAATTTCTCCAAAACTGGGTCCCATTTCAATCAGCCAACCATGATCGTTAGTAGTGGAGCACGTCTTTCACACGTCTTAGCTGCTAATTGTTCCAATTTCATGTCTAATTAAAGTCAACTCTTGATTTTTACAGGGTCTTGACCCAAAGTCAACCGCAAATTTGTTCAACAATTCGATTTGCATAGGGGAGAAGACAATCAATGGGGAAGATTGCTTTGTGTTAAAGCTGGAAGCCGAGCTTTCGACTCTAAAAATACGAAGCAGTACAAACGTAGAGATCATGAAGCACACAATTTGGGGGTATTTTAGTCAAAAAACAGGTCTTTTATACCAACTTAAAGATTCACATCTCATAAGAATAAACACACCTGGAAGTGATAGTGTGTTTTGGGAGACAACCATGGAGTCACTAATCCAAGACTACCGGACCATCGATGGAGTCAACATAGCTCACGGTGGTCAAACCACGGTTTCATTGTTTAGATTCGGTGAGGACTCTGAAAGCCATTCACAGACAAAAATGGAGGAGATTTGGACGATTGAGGAGGTGGATTTCAACATAAAGGGTCTTTCAAACGACTGTTTCTTGCCACCAAGTGACTTGAAAAAGGAGGATGATAAGCAAATTGTTCATGATGCCACGAGTGGTGACAAGTTTATTGGAAGCACCAAGTTTGCCTCCAGGAGCCGAGGAAATTCGTCTAGGTTTGGTGTTCATAAGATTGTGGCGATTGATTCTGATGGTTTTGGGGACTTGTGACGTTGTTGTTGTTTGATTATATCATGTTTTGTACATATTTTGTTGTACAAGTTGTATAATATTTATAGATAGTGAATCGTTTGAGCTTGTGCTCTTAGACGATCTTATATAGGATGTTAGTCGGATTCTTTCCATACTAAAAGTTTATTTACCTAAATGATATGTTTATTTTTGTTGTGCCATAATAGATAAAGTAGATTGATCGTAATGATTTTAGAAAATCTCTTCTACATAGATATACAAAATGAATGGGTTCCTCACTTCCTTTTATGGCTCCCCGATATTGTGATGTCCGGGGAAAAGGGCTCGCAGTTTAGAGATGATGATAATAAGCAGCATTTTTAGGGCTGCTTTGCAAACCTTTTTATTGAGAGTTAATTACACGAATGGTCCCTATAGTTTGGGGTAATTTGCATGTTTGGTCTCTAACTTATTTTTTTAACTCGGAAGGTCTTTACCGTTTGTTTTTGTTGCGCGCTTGGTCCCTGTCTTACCTAAAAATATTATTTTGCCCTTGATTTTTTAATTTATTTAAATAAACACACCCCAACCTCACTTCCACCTTACCTTACCTACCCCACCTTATTTAAATAAATTAAAAAATCAAGGAAAAATAGTCTTTTTAGGTAATACATAGACCAAACGTGCAACAAAATCAAACTATAAAGACCTTTCGAGTTAAAAAATAAGTTAGGACCAAACGTACAAATTACCCCAAACTATAAGGAACATTGGTTTAATTTACTCTTTTGTTGACCATCATTTGATTGACACCCTCAATGTTTTAACTTTAGACATTTCTTATGGGGTGCCCAGAATTTATCCGATAATATGTGAAGGTGATGGTTATAGATATACCAAGGTTATACATGATCGTTTTCTGCTTTGCAGGATTGTGATCGTAAGATCGAACTGGATCGTAATATCTTACCATAAGCATTTTTAAACATAAAAAATATATATTCATCCATCAAATAACCATCCAGTTAACAATAAATACTTTAAAACATAAAAAATACATTTCTAATATATTATTTAACAATAAATAATTCAAAATGGGCCTTCTATGTGGTTAGTCCAAAAAAAATATTTGAGTTTTTTTTTATGTACTAACGATCTTGCGATCTTACAATCGATCCTACAACGATACTACCGGAAAATGATCAAAGTAAGATCGGGATCGTACGATCGTTCGATCATGATTGCGATTTTAACAGCCTTAAGATATACAATATGTTAGATATATATCGATATACTAATCAAATTCCATTTTTAGTGTTTCTTGTGTACAAAGTTACTATAGGATATGTTTAACAACGAATTTTCGAAAACTTTTAATTTTTAAGAAAAAACTTGATTTGAAGATTTTTTTTTTCAGACGTACGAGTTTAAAACTATTATCTAAAATAAAAATGGTAATCCAAAATCTACTTCATAACTTTCACAAATCTTAATGAATATTTTTTTTACTTTTATATAAATAAACAATACTACCTTCTACTTTTATATACCGACTAATTTATCAAAAAATATCATATTGTAGTGCATTTCTTAAGACCTAGTTTGCTACACTTTACATGAGATTCTCATGATAAGTCATGATGGACTTGGTCTCCTTTAGATATGTATAATGTATTTCTATGGAATGTGTGACTGATAGTAAAACAAGAATTGTAATATTTTGTGCTACCAAAAAAACAAAATAAAATATAAACTCATTCCGATTATAATGCTAAAAACTTATTAAATCGGTCGTGTCCTAATAGTCTATTATATATTTATATGTAACAATGGTATCATAAAAGTAGTTATTACTATAAAACACATACAGAACAAAATTTTGAGTTTAGATCATGGGTCTTTATAGAAAAAATGGAATCATTTGTAAATTTTTATATGAATATGTGAATTCCAAGTTGGGCTTAGTAGGATGTGACAGCCCAATGAGTTTTATGTTAGTCAAGCCCATTGCTAGATTATTGAAGTAAAGAATACTCTAGAAAGGCATCAAGCTGCTTGCAGAATTTCCTGGAACCTTCAAGACACTATCCAAAATCAGTTATATAAACCACGGGTATCAATCGATAAAACAACACAAAATTTCAATTTCCAGTTAGCAATTGTTGGATCTCTCTTTAGTCTTTGCTTAGCGATCAGTAACGAGTATGTCGATCATCCCAAGCTTTTTCGGTGGTCGTCGAACAAACGTCTTCGATCCCTTCTCCCTCGACATTTGGGATCCTTTCGAAGGCTTCCCCTTCAACAACAACAACAACAACTTCCCTTCTCTCTCCGATCGCGTCGGATCTTCTGAAACATCTTCGTTCGCGCACGCGAATATTGACTGGAGGGAGACTGCGGATGCTCATGTGTTCAAGGCGGATGTGCCGGGGCTGAAGAAGGAGGAAGTGAAGGTTCAGGTTGAGGACGATCGAGTGCTGCAGATCAGTGGAGAGAGGAACAAAGAGAGTGAGGAAAAGGGAGACACGTGGCACCGTGTTGAGAGAAGCAGCGGGAAGTTTATGCGAAGGTTTAGGCTGCCGGAGAACGCGAAAGTGGATCAGGTGAAGGCGGCGATGGAGAATGGTGTGCTGACTGTCACTGTGCCCAAAGTTGAAGTGAAAAAACCTGATGTGAAGTCGATTCAAATCTCTGGTTGAATTTGAAAGGTATCTCATATATGTGTGGATATTAGGCTAAATCCGTAAGTCGAATAATGTATGTGGTTGAAGTCGAATAGTGTCTCCCAGTATTGCAAATCTACTAATCGGAAATTTTCATTGTACGAGTCGGTTGATTAGGGTTTTGAAGTTGTGTTTGCGTTCGTACGTGCTGTGTAAATGTTTCGTTAATCAGTGAGAACAATGTCAGCTTCTGCAATTTCAGAGACGTGTTTTCTGCTTCTTTATTTCCTTTAACAAAAATCGTAAACATATCCTTGTTTGAAGGAAGTAGTTTCATTACGCTCATTACTGGACTAGGACTTTATCAACGTTAAAGTTAAAGGGTAGGAAACATAGTGTTTGTAGCTTCATAACTCGTGACCCCAATTCATTATAGCATTTTCAGTAGATGAGATAGAATTTTTATGAATGTAGCGAATAAATCATGTTGAATTTTATGAATGGAGCCCTTCTTTCTTAATAAGCATGATGAAACATATGCAATTTCTGATATCCAAAGTGTGCTAGGTTCTTTTTTTTTTTTTTTTTTTTTTTCTTTTTGGATCTTAAACATTTACATAAACAAAAATGTGAAGGTAATTAATATAATTAGGGGGTGTTTGAATAAATAGTTTTTAGCTTATTAGTTTATTGCTTATTGCGGTGAAAATAAACACTTTTTTAAAATGTGTTTGGATTAGTTTATTGCGGTGGGAATAAACAATAAGCAATAACATTTTAAGTGTAAGGCAAACAAAACAACTATATGAGTAAAATGACCAATAAGCAATAAGCATTCTTCCTTTGCTTAGCTGATTTTTAAAGACTCCCATCCAAACACTTAAATTTGTTTATTACGATGGGATTAAGAGCAACCTATTTTTTCCCTATCCAAACAACCCTTTATTCTCGATTGAATTTGGAGTTGTTCAAGGTTTTGGGTTTGGATTGAGTTTGTAAGTTCACCACGGATGTTCTTACTTGAAACCAATCGACCAAAATCTTCATTAGTTTCAGGTTTTTTACAACATGAAATCGATTTTCAGTGTTTTCCATGCCTAAGGCATTCATGAAACGTGTAATGGTTGGCATTAGGACTTGGGAAGAGTTTGAGGAGAGGCGACAAAAGTGGGAAGGAATCTTCATCCTTGTTGGTGGTGTTGGTGGCAGCGGAGAGGAGGTGGAGGCTGGGATACAGATAGGCCCATTCCAGTGATCTACCTCATCGTTCAAATCTTTTACTAAACGAGTTTATATATATAAGATCCGGTAAGAAATTTTTTTTGGTAGAAAGGTAAGAAGTTTTTTTTTTACATATTTTTTTGACGAACAAAACAAATGAATCACTAGATGAATAAAAAATAACATGATTCATAAAAAAAAATTCTTATAAAAACATCTCGATGATTTATTTATACAATGATTTTGTTGTTATTCATTAAAATTGTCATAGAAATGAATTTTTTTCTTAATTTACTTAAAAATGAATCATGAAATGTTTTTTTTGGGAATTTTTTCTTGTGAATTATCTAAGTTTTGAATCATCTAATGATTCATTTTGTTTGTTCGCTAAAAATACCTTACTACCAAAAATTTCCTTCTTATTTGATCTTGACTCTATATATATATCCCTCAATTTTTATTAACTTTTATGTTTTTTCTTATTCAAATAATTTAATTTACTTTCTAGTTTTCCGTTATCACATTTTATCTTTTAAATTATTTTGCTTGTATTTAAAAAAAAATTATGGGGTCCAATTCATTTTTATAGAGTCTTCAAAATCAATCAGGCCGCTTCTAGACATAGTATACAATAAAGGTGGGGTGAGTTAGACATAGTATGCGATAAAGGTGGGGTGGGTGGTTTAACTACGTGCTAAGGCGATGATATTTATTTATACCCCTAGAAAAATCTTATATTGTGGTAAACACTATGAAGATGGTAAGGGAATGACCTCTATTTATACACTTACAAAAAGTTTATATTGTGATAAGCACTATGTTCGTAAACCTAATCTATTACCTAGTGATAGATATTATTATTACAAAGATAATACACTAACATGGCAAAGATAATACACTAACATGGCAGGATAATCAACCATCACACAACTACTATGTTCACAAATAGTAAAGATATTATAACATTCAAAGTAAAAACATAATAATAAATAGTAGAAAGTAAAAACAATGGGATGGCTGGAATCACGATGGTGATGTAGCGTATCGTTCTTATTTTTTACTATTTACTATTCGGTTTTTTACTTTAAATGTAAGCATATATTTACTATTCATGAGTGTAAATGTGTTATGATGGATTATCCAACCATATTACCATAGTATCTTTGTAATAATAATGTCTACTGTTA